GGGTAGTGGTTGGAATCTGGGCTGTACCTCGATTGGCGGCCGTGACTGGGGCATTCTTGTATTGTTGTTCGCCGACCGCCTATCTGGATCCGCGCGGCGAGGCTAGAACCCAGATGCATATTTGTGTTCGACTCCGTCTTATGCTTCTGTGGTGTATATTGGGGGTCAGTTTGTGCTCCTCCTCCTGATCCACAAGTTGTTGGTGACCAAGTCGGTCGGCCTGTCCCGCAACATCACAATCCGTTGTCGCAGCATGCCGCAGTTTGGCTTAACGAGTTGGTTTCAAACAAGCCAAGCGTGACTACTACCGAAGTGGCCGCCGGGGTGGCAGCATGGCTGTGGGATCTCCCATTTCACGCCCATCCATTGCCAGCCTTGGGGGTGGCCCTCGCTTTCTTCGTGCGTTATGTCGGTCAGGTCGTCACCAACAACATCTGCATCGAGGGGAAACTTTTTGTGGTACATCCTAGCGAACATCTTTGTAATTTCGGGCATTTGCCGTCTTCAGCGAGTGTTGGCAATGCATGTGCCACCAGGATGGGCCAGACGAGCATTGGTGGTGTTACCAAAATGATGGCTCCAGGCTTTGAGCGGCTTGCATCCTCGAGTACTGCTTCTTGCCAAGGCGGCATGTTCAGGTCAACTGGAGGATTACACAGCCGTCGCGCTTACTCTTGGAAGCCATTCAGCCCAGTACGTCGGCAAGACTTCGCTTTTGCGTCGTGATTACCGTGGGCTCGGCGGGACAGTCGCTGAACAAGGACGCGCCCTTGTGCATCCGAACGTTGGGATCGGGAGCAAGTCACGGTACACGGCATTCAGACGCAGTGTCGGGAACATTTTTTGCTTCCCATGGTCTTCACGAGTTCCGACGACCTCGCGTTGCTCTACGAGTCCATGGCTACCCGCACTCTTCGTCCGTTGGCGAACGTTGCAGAACGGAAGGCGCGCCTGGTTGTTCGTAAACGAGTTTATCATGACCGAGCTGGTGCATCTCCTGTTCGCGTACCTCGCCGACGTCCTTCTAGTTGGATTCGCCGCCGGCAACGTCGTTTTCGTGGAGGCATGTGGCCTGGGATGGAAATTCGCGGCGATGCCCCCTCGATGGGGACGTCTCCGGAGCTCCCATCGTGGTTCAGTGGTGCTCGCGGGGAAGTTGGCCCTTACAGTCGCGCGCACCGCAACCAATACCGCGAGTGGTTTCTTCAATCAGGACAAGTTGGCTCTCTCTCTCTCTCTCTCTCTCTCTCTCGCTCTCTCTCTCTCTCTCTCTCTCTCTCTCTCTCTACGCATTCCAGCGCGATCGCGCAGCAATGCTTCTCCGATGGTTGGCCACCCGAAGACAGTTCTTGCAGCTGCCAGCGTGGCCGAAGCAGGAGCTTTGTACATATCTGTGCTGGGTTTTGGAAATGGCCGTCGCTGTGGGATTTCGCACCATCGTTGCGCGTATGTTTCCCTCGGTCTTGATGCTCTTCTGAAAGTTGTTGCACTACCGTCGGTACATGTTCCTGTTGTTCCTCTTCCACACGTTTTTCGCGATTACCGCGACGTCAATGGGTTCGCGAAGGACTCCGCCGACGTCAATGGGCCCGCATGATGTCGCGTCCGCGCGCGCAGCCGCGCGGTGGATTGGCCCCCGCATTCGTTATGTATTCCAAAGGCGCCGCTGTTGGAGAGATGGTTAGCGCCAAAGTTTCCACGCTCTCACGCGCTGCCGCACCCGCCCTTGCCGTCAGGCTGCCAAGAGCCGAATCCTCTTGAAGGGCTCCGCGCTCTTGATGACCCATGGCAGCTGCCAGTTTGGCCGTCGCTGCGTGGTGCTATAGTTTCAGTATCTCGTGCCGTTCATGAGTGGGGGCTCGCGCTCGTCTTCGCTGTCGAGTGGTGCTTCGGGGCGTTGACCGCCCTCGTCTAACCCGCGAGGTTCTTGATCCGAGCATGATGCCGCCACCCTCCGCCTGGGAAGTTGAGGAAGACGCCGCGCGAGAGGCCACGCGGCCCCGCCCAGATGAAGTTATCGTGGGGGGGCGATAAAGGTTCTAGTCGCATGTGGGTTGTATATGGGCCTGATCTTGCTCGCTACCCGGTGGAATCGATGTTTGCGGACTCTTCGCGGGTGCACCGCTCTGACCTCGAACCTCACGATGTTTGTCGGTGGTTGTGGTGCCGCGGGCACGCAAGTTGCCCCAAGTTTCTTTGATCTCGACGGATGTTGCCACCACCGTCGCGGCGCTCAAGGCCACCGACGCGCGTCCCACTGTTCAAAAACAAGTACTGGCATAAAGACGGGCGGCGGTCACGTTGCAAAGTTAGTCATTTGTGTTGCAGACGAGTCATCGAAGTTGGGATTGGAGGGATTCGCGATCAAGAATGCGGCTGCGTCGGCGCGAGCGATCCGCGAGGAGCTACCGCAGCCATCCAACGTGAACTGTTGCAGGTGCGGCTCTCCTATGCATGGGATCTCTCTGGTTGTGGGCGATTGCGACCAGGCGTGTGAGCAGTGTACTGCGTCTTCTGTCACCGCGGCCTGGGCTGGCTTTTCCCCGCGCACGGTGGCAACGCAACCTGGCGGGGGTTTGCTGGCCCTGCGTGCCGGGCGTTCTGTTTCGAGGCCGTCGACTGGCAGCGTCCCCTTGAGCGGATATTTCATCTCGGTGAATGACGCGCTGCGGGCTCTCAGTTTTTTCTGTTGGATCAGCGCGATCGCCTTTGCAGACGCGGTCTTCGAGTTGCAGGGCTTGCCGATCGGAGGTGTCGTGCTTGCGGTGGCCCTGCGCGTCCTGCTCGCCTTCCAGGATGAATCATCCTTGTCCATTCCCTCCCGATTTGTCACCCTGAGTTCCCCTCCTCCCGCACGCCCCGCTCGACTCCACGATGCTAGAGCTCGTCGGACTTCGCGGAGGACCGCGAGGCGAAGATGACAGAGCAAGCCTTGCGCCAGCAAGGCGAAGGAATGGCCGTAGCCACGTCCTCCGCCTTCGAGAAGCAGATCCAAAACCTGACGGGCACGAGGGCGCCGCCGGGGGGGGGGCGCCTGGCGGCCGCGCTGGCGCCTTCCCCCCGCCGCCGCCGCTGGGCGGGCAGCAGGCCCAGCGGGGCCCTTCCCGGTCGGAGCTTGGATGGTTCGCCGCGTCTCTGGGGCCCATGCAGCAGTCCCCAGAGGGTGCCGCATCCAAGGCGTCGATCACCGCCCGCGTCAAGGCGTCGCTGACGGACAAGTCCGTGATGGGGCAGGTCAACAAGGTCTTGCGCCAGTTCGTGGATGAGGGGCAGCTCCCGGCCACGCCGGACGAGAAGGCGTCGAAGCTCGTGGACCGAATTTTCGGGGAGGGCCTCTGATTCCACAGTGGGATGGTGGTATGAGGCATCGTTCTGCAGCTAAGGGTACGCGGTTGTTCGATAAGGGCTTCATCGTCCTCCTGCTCATTCAGATTTGCTGGAAGCGATTTCGGGACACGGTTCTGGCATCTGGGGGAAGTGGGCCAGAGGAAGTTACAGACTTTTCCGTACTTATCAGACATTTGCAGATTCTCAAGGCGTGGTGGCGCTTGCGCGTGACTCATATTCAAGAGGCGTGGGAGGTTCAGAATTTCTGAACTTTGGAAATAATCGGCTAACATTTCACGACGTCATCGCAGAGCGCGAGACGAAGGCTATGCTATACAGCATCATTGGCGCAACCCTCGGCGCCTTCATCCAGAATCGGCAGGCGGGAGGCCAGAGGGTGAGAACCAACAGCCGTGATCTTGCACTTGTGCGTTGAACAACCACCTGGGCGAGTGAGTCTTGAGTTGGGTCTTCCCTGCCCTCTCTACTCCTCCTCCTCCTCCTCCTCCTCCTCCTCCTCCTCCTCCTCCTCCTCCTCCTCCTCCTCCTCCTCCTCCTCCTCCTCCTCCTCCTCCCACATCCGCCCCGCCTTCATATTCTTATTATTCATGCTGCTACTCTCCTCTTTGCTTAGGAGTTAATCTCTAGCCCAGGCTGCGTTCACAGCTGGCGATCAGGCAGGCTCGGGCGTGGCGCCCAGGTCCCAGACACTTCAGCACGATCTGATATCCGAACTCTCTCCCTCCATTTCCCTGTCAAGCTGTCCGTCTCTAGCTCTCTTCTTCTTCTCTCTCTCTCTCTCTTTTTCTCTCTCTCTCTCTCTCTCTCTATCTTTCTCCACTCTCTCTCCCTCCATTTCCTTCTCACTATCTCTCTATATACCCCTCTCTTTCTCTCTCCCACCATCTCCCTCACTCTCCCTCCGTCTCTCTCTCTCTCTCTCTCTTTCTCTCCCTCTCTTTCTTTCTTTATATGTGTGTGTGTTTCTCTCTCTCTCTCTCCCCCTCTCTTCCTGTCTCTCTCTCTTCTCTTTCTCTCTCTCTCTCTTTCTCCTCTCTTGCTCTCGCTATATATATACAAATATGTATATAGAGATGTTTCCTGTAGTACCTCACTCACTCACTCTCTCTCTCTCTCGCTCTCCTCTTCCCCTTCCCCATCCATATCCATGTGGCTTTGCTTCTCTCTCTTTCTCCTCCTCTCTCTCCCTCCATCCCCCTCTCACTCTTTCTCTCTCTCTCTCTCTCTGTCTCTATCTCCCCCCATCTTCCTCACTCTCTCTGTCTCTCTCGTTCTGTCGTTCTCTCTCTCTCTGTATCCTCTCTCTCTCTCTCTCTCTCTCTCTCCCTCCATCTCCCTCTCACTCTCGTTGGCTGCGTGTATGTAGCGACTGGACATTGCACATGCCCGTGCTAGAGCTCTGGGGAGGTGGCACACGGGGCCCAGCATGTTTGGATGTTTCGGCATAAGCGCCACACACCGCGGAAATCTGCATGGTCGTTAAGCCCGTCGGTTTCTCCCTCTCCTCATCCCTCTGCCCCCGTCCCTCCTCCTCCAACCACACCCCGTCTGCATCTCCTCTTATCCCCCCTCTTTCTCTTCCCCACGCCTCAGTTTGGAGGTGTTTGGAGTGCTGCTCAGGCCGCGCAGGCGGCACGCGCAGCCCGCCAGAG